CGGACGCTACCCTCGGCGAAGCGCCGTTCTTCGTTGATGATCAGGGTTCTGTCGCCGGTCAGGATAAGGCTATTACTGTTGGCGAGGGTGTCCTTACCATTCGTTCCAGCTTTGTGCTTTCCGATGGTGGTTTGAGACCTACTACGTCGCACTCGACCGCTGGTACCCCCGAACCCACTGATGGTCCGGGTAGTCCTGACTCGAGAAAGATGCCCCGTCGCAGCTTTTTGAGTAAGAGATCTGTTAGCGGTGTTTAAAAACCACCTTTGTTATTATCCGTTTTGGAATTGCTTTGCCTGTTGAGGCTGAAGATATGAAAATATGAAATGCTTTCGCTTGTTACTAATTGGTTTTTTTTCTTTCTGTGTTTTTGTTGTGATATCCTTTTTTTTTTCTTATTTTTTTTCCCTCTCGCTATCAATCTGAATTCAATTGTTGAGATGGTGGACAATTTGAGACATATCCCACGTAGCATGGAGATGACAGTATTAAAATAGCCGAGTAAAAATAGTCCAAAGAGTCGAGAATCAATAGTTCACGCCACCCAAAAAAGCCCAAAAAAGCCCAAAACAAGGCTGAGTCTAAGACCAAAAACCCAATGTCTCACTTTGGAATCCTAAAGGGGCTCCCGACGAGGGCATACTGACATTTTTATATGGTAGTCTCATCACATTCTCGTTCTTTGGCTTTATATTAAAAAAAAAAAATATAAATTGGTTAAAATCGGTTAAAATTGGTCTCGGGCCTTTCTTTTCAAGACTGTTTTTCTTGTTCCCGAAACTTGGTCTGCACAGCCCTCAGTGATCTGCACTTTGATGCTTAGGCCTCTTGGAGTGTTTAGTGTTTAGTATGTACTCTGTGAATCATGGTGGTGAGTGTGTATAGAGGGAGGATAGGGATTTATTGAGATGTGTAAGTAGTATTTAGTTGGATCTTATTTTTAGATCCCTTCAACGGTACGGAATATATTAGCCTCATTTATTTAGGGAAGAGGCGTGGTGGAGTTGATAATTTGCTTGTCCCACTGTTGCCACTTTGACCGGAGTTTTGTTTAAACTAGAAGAATCAGTAGAAGGGGAGATCTTATTTGCAATAGTTAGTATATTATATGTGCTACAACATAGTGATAATAGGGGAATAACGGTGAAAGAAGATACCTGCATTCTATGTTGTAGACTTTCCAATGTGTCTAGACAGGTCCTCACGTTGTACATTTTAATAAACAGTAACCGTACGGAGTACTTCGTGGTACAGACTTAGTTATGTTGTATATATTAATAGACAGGTCAGGTGAACATCCTATGCATCTTCACATCTTAATAGTAACAGAATTTGAATACAATATAATTAGGAATGAAGTTCGAAACCATTGAAACCAACACTGAAACAAGGCCAAAAGAAGGACGAGAGCTTGTCTCTGGTGGGGGGGTCTAATCTTATAGGGACTAGCTTTTTTAAGGTGGAGAGAGAGAAACGAAAAAGGGGTCTGGATTGACAGTGGACTTGTGGACTTGTGTACTCCGGGCTTAGGGGTCTTAGGGTATAGTTGATAGTTAAGATGGTTAAGATTAAGATGGTTAAGATGGGAATTCTGTATAACTATTCTGTATTTCTATCGAGTTAATAGTCTTGGGTGTTGTAGGTGTTAGTTCCCGAGCTCTAGCCCGTGGGCATGTCAGTGGCTGGTAAGTGACGGCATTTGGATGCAAGGAGGACTGAGATGGGAGGATGGCGATGGGACTGGCACTGGCAATTGGAATAGTATATGATATATAGGAGGAGAAAGAGGAATTGAGAATGTAGATATGTAGATATGTAGATATGTAGATATGTAGATATGTAGATATAATTAGGATATTATCTTATAAAGTACCTAAATACTCTCCTTAGTAAATAGCTTAACTACCTAAATAGGATCACAAATAACAAATAATATAAAATCACGGGGTTTCCCCCACTCTCCCTTTTTCCCTTTCCCTTTCTTTTTTTTATAACACTTCCTCTCTTCTTCTTCTCTTTGCATTTTTCTGTTTAGGAATTGACCTGTGAGTTGTTCTACCCTATGACGGCAACTTGACATCCCAATGGATCGACAAGTGGCAATAAAATGAACCCCTCCCTTTTTTTTGTGTTTGGGCCATTCTGAACAGCTCTGAGCTGCTTAAATAGAGCCACGTCACCTCCCTTTTTTTTGGATTGAATTCTGCCACTGACTATCTTATTTTTTATTATAATAGCCCAGTTCCCTTCAAACCAATACCCATATCCCCATAACCTATAACTCATAATGGGCTCCAAGGCTCTTCCTACTCACCTTCGGGCCCCCGAGAGCGAGGCCTTTGGTGGAAAGCACCATGGCAAGACTCAGTCGCACATGGTAAGTTTCACTTCAGGCGGTGAATCCCTGGATCCTCGAATCTTGAAGCTTCGTTCTTGCCATTTTTGGTCGTTCCTACTGTTTTGGGATTGTTTTGTTGGTTACTGGACGCGTCGGACGAAAGAGAACTCGTTCCTCTGTTTTATTTTCTTCTCTTCACCATCACGCTGTTGTTCTCCCTGATCTATTTGTCGAATCATCCCAATTTGCCTGTATTCAATCCCCCCTGCAATTGTGTCTATCCCTCTCCTGACAATGGCTACCTTGGCCCCCCCATTTGGTCCAGAACTGACCCGTGAAACCTCCCATCAGGCATTCGAGAATGCATCCACTAGCGTCGCCGCCTCACAAATGCGCAATGCTCTCAACGCCCTCGGTGACAGCGTCACCGACCCCAATGAGAAGAAGCGCTTCGAGGCCGAGATGGACAACTTCTTCGCCCTGTTCCGCCGTTTCCTGAACGACAAGGCCAAGGGCAACTCCGTCAATTGGGACAAGATCGCTCCTCCCCAGCCTTCCCAGGTTGTTGGCTACGATGACCTCGGTGCTGACGCCTCCGTCGAGTTCCTGAACAAGCTCGCCGTTGTCAAGCTCAATGGTGGTCTCGGTACCTCCATGGGTTGTGTTGGTCCCAAGTCCGTCATTGAGGTCCGTGAGGGCATGTCCTTCCTCGATCTCTCCGTGCGCCAGATCGAGCACCTGAACCGTAGCTTCAACGTCAACGTGCCTTTCGTCCTCATGAACTCCTTCAACACCGATCAGGACACCCAGTCCATTATCAAGAAGTACGAGGGCCACAACGTCGACATCATCACCTTCAACCAGTCGCGCTACCCCCGTATCATCAAGGACTCGCTCCTGCCCGCCCCCAAGAGCTTCGACTCTCCCCTCCAGGATTGGTACCCTCCCGGACACGGTGACGTTTTCGAGTCCCTGTACAACTCCGGTACTCTCGACAAGCTGATCGAGCGTGGCATCGAGTACATCTTCCTGTCCAACGCCGACAACCTCGGTGCCGTGGTTGATCTCCGCATCCTGCAGCACATGGTTGACTCCCAGGCCGAGTACATCATGGAGTTGACTGACAAGACCAAGGCTGACGTCAAGGGTGGTACCATTATCGATTCCGACGGCAAGGTCCGCCTGCTCGAGATCGCCCAGGTGCCCAAGGAGCACGTCAACGAGTTCAAGTCGATCAAGAAGTTCAAGTACTTCAACACCAACAACATCTGGCTCAACGTCCAGGCTATCAAGCGTGTCGTTGAGGAGAACGAGTTGGAGATGGAGATCATCCCCAACGAGAAGTCCATTCCCGCCGATAAGAAGGGTGAGGCCGATCAGGCTATCTACCAGCTGGAGACCGCCGTCGGTGCGGCCATCCGCCACTTCAAGAACGCCCACGGTGTTAACGTGCCCCGTCGCCGCTTCTTGCCCGTCAAGACCTGCTCCGATCTGATGGTCGTCAAGTCTGACCTGTACCGTCTCGAGCACGGCCAGCTGGTTATGGACCCCAACCGCTTCGGTGGTGTCCCCGTCATCAAGCTCGGTACCGACTTCAAGAAGGTCTCCGACTTCCAGAAGCGCATTACCAGTATTCCCCGCATCGTCGAGCTGGACCACCTTACTATCACTGGACCCGTTAACCTCGGCCGTAACGTCACCCTCAAGGGAACCGTTATCATTGTCGCCTCCGAGGGTAGCACCATTGACATTCCCCCTGGATCCGTGCTTGAGAACTGTGTTGTGCAGGGTAGCCTGAGAATCCTCGAGCACTAGATGTTTTCTGATTCTTCTGTCTTGGATCACAGATCCGCACTGTTTTGAAATTTTCTTTTTCCCTCCGTTTTAACTGGTACATCCGAGTTATGGATTCCATGGAGTATGCAAAAGAAGTACTTGTATTACATTACAATAATCCAGCGTCTTTTTTCTTTCTTTCTTAATGGGTTTTTAGTTTAGACCTGACTTTGATCCCAAGTACTTTGATGTTGCTCACCATTCTCAATGCAGTACCAGTTTACTCGTTCAATATCAGACAGTACAGTAGATAGTGTAGTTGTATGGGCATTTGTGTCCGTCTCGGTTCTTCGCCACCAACTCGATATATATCCCCAAGAACACCCCAAACGCCTCACATAGCCTCGATATCACGAAATCCAAGCATCAACTCCAAGCGACTAATCTCCAACATAGAATACATAATTGCCTTGAGGCAAATAAAGTCCTATAATAATAGGCGGGGAAAAGTTCCCCATGATATCTTCGCAACGTCACTCGCGGCAAAAACAACCCATTTGCCCTAACATCTCAAGTATATACGTCCTACAATCATTTGAGACAGGATATACACTTGCACAACATGCATTCCTGATCTTGTACATTTTCAACTTTCTTCCTTTTATTGTATATTGTCATACAGTACATATATTCGACTGTATATCTCATCTTTTTTACATATTCATTTTTTTACATACCATCCGTCCTTCACATATTCATATTTTGAACCGTTCTTGTCTATATATTTCAAACACAAAACACATATTGTATATTCTGCATTCAAAGAAAACCCCAAAAAAAAAAACCAAAAGCTAACCCAAATCCAATCACTCGCCCATGTCGGAATATGGGTGGGCATCAACGCCGTCTTGTACCAGGTCCCTCACCTTCGGAGGATGACCAACACGAAAACTATCATGAACATGACTTTGAAAATGGTAGTCCGCCCGCTGATGAAGGGAAGGGTGGGACGTGGAAGAAGAGGGTTTCGACTGCTTGTTTGGCTTGTAAGAAGTCGAAGAGGAAGGTGAGATTTATATACCTATACTACATATATATCTATACCTATACCTATACCTATACCTATACCTATACCTATACCTATACACCTACATGTTATCTATCCAAATTTACATCTACATCTATATCTATCACAAACTAACAAACTAGTGCTCCGGCACATCCCCCTGCGCAAACTGCCAAACCTTCAAAAGAGTCTGCATCTTCGACGAATCCCTCGATCAACGCCGCCGCATCGCCGCAAAAAGAACAGCAGACGAACTCTCCTACCACCGCGACCTCCTCTCAGACCTCTTCAAGCTCGTCCGCGAAGCAAACGAATCAGACGCCTTGCACCTCCTCACACTAATCCGACACAATGCCCACGCCGATGAAATCCGCGCATACATAAACGAAACTCTCGCCTCCCTCACCTCGACATCGACATCGACATCGACATCCACAGCGCATAAACAGGAAACTGTCGCAAAGCTAGAAGATATGCGTCGGCTTATCAATGTCGAAGGCACGGGTCCCACTTTCAGAAAGAAGGTCATGGATATCCATTTCCTTTGTGATTCGGCGCCCTGTGAGGTTCCTGCGAAGCCGTGGACGAGAGTTACCGCTGATGCGGATTTGGTGTCGCATCTTGTTTCGTTGTATTTTGCGTGGGATTGGCCGTTTACTACGGTTCTGGATAAGGGGGTTTTTGTTAGGCATATGGCGAGGGGGGTTCTTGGGTCCGAGTTTTGTAGCCCGTTTTTGGTGAATGCGGTGCTCAGTAATGCTTGTGTGAGTATTTTATCTTTCTTTTCTTTCTCTTCTTCTCTTCTTTGGGCTTGAGGTTGGAGTTGTGCTGGTTTCAGTTTGGTGGCTGATTTGATTCGTTTAGTACTTCTCTGAGTTCTCTGAGGCTTATGTTGTTCCTGGTGATATCTCTTCAAAAGGATGTGATTTCCTTGCTGAAGCTGAGAGGTTGAGGGATGAGGAGGGTTCGCAGCCTAGTTTGGCGGGTTTGCAGGGGACGTTGTTGATGTATGAGAGGTTTGTATAGACATCTCCGGTACTGGTGATAGGAGCTTTTCTGATATGGACAGATATGCAATGTCCCGCGAAGACGATCTGGGATATATCATGCTGCACCAGGCTATCCGAATGGGTGAATCATTGGGTCTGGTCGGCAGCACAGGACCCAGAATGGCTTCGGGAGAATTCTCTCAGGACATGGATGTATCTTGCAAACGCACTGCTTGGGGTTTATTCAACATTGACACGTAAGTGATCTATCTCTTAACACTTACCCTTCGAATTAGTATTCGTATTCACACCCACAGAATGGTCCATACATCCTTCCTCCGGCCAAGTCTCATCGACCACGTCAACATGGCCCGACTTGATATCAACCAGTCCGAAGACCAAGACCTCTGGCAGCCATATCCAACCCACCGTGACCCACGCCCGTCATTCTTCAGTCGGTATTTCGACGAAGTATGCAACCTGTCGACAATTGCGCGCGATATCTCGCGCAGCATGTTCGCAGACCACAGAAGTAACACCACCCTTCGCCCGATCCACCGCCAGAGCCGCGAGGATCTATACGACCGCATCCGTCGCTGGCACGAGCTTCTCCCGGCGGAATTTGATGAGCGGTACAAACCAGCTCCGCATATAATCTTACTGAAGTGAGTAGCAAGCCCAAACCCTAAGAAATAACCCGGCAGTAAAACCAAACACAAAATACTCATCCCAAATAGAATGCGCTACAACGCCCTCATCATAAACCTCTTCAGCTGCATCTCCGAAGACGAAGTCCCACCCATCCCCTTCGAACCCAAAACCCCCGAAAGCCCACCACGCCACACCCCCGAAACAAAATACAACACGCGAGAGGTAACCCAGCGCGCGGCGCGCGACATCGCATCCCTAACCCGTCTCCACAGACGCGAGTTCGGCGTTAGTCGCGCGCACCATTTCGCCATGTACGCGATCAACCTTGCACTGTTTACGATGCTCGAGCATGACTCGTTCGATGTGTTAGATGAGGATTTCCTCACTCTTGCGAGTGCGTTCTGTATTGTCGCGAGTCGGTCGACGCTGGGTCGGAATCTGTTTCATATTTTTCGTCAGTCGGTTAGGGCTAAGGCGCAGGGGCATCGCATTCGAGGGGCCACTGCTGTTCCGGATGAATTGAAGGATTTGGTTGATGAGACTTCGAAGGAGAGGGGGTGTTGTCGGTTTGATGAGTATGCGGATGGGCTTGAGAAGTTGAATCGGAAGGATAAGTATCATGGTATTGGGGAGGGGGGTGGGAAAGGGTTGCAGGATTATCCTGGTCTTGGACTTTCGGATATGTTGGATCGGTATGAGAGTCTTAGTCTTGGGAAGAATGATGTTTCGGTGGAGAGGTATCGACCTGTTGGATGTTGATGGCCCATGGGGAAATGAGAAATGAGAAATGATGGAGACAATATACAGTTGTACTGTCATTGTCATCGTCGTCATCTCTTCCATCGTCTATATCTCCCAGGTACATTTCGCCTTCATGGAGTGGCGACTCGGGTATATGAATATATCTCCATAGATATAGATTGTTCAGAGGTATTGGTGATATATCTATGGTGACACAATGAGAATTCTTTTGAATGAGACAGTTAGTGACCCGTTATTAGCCATGATTGATCGTAAATGATGGGATAATTCTAGTTGACTTGTAGTTAATAGACGTGTTTTATAGAAGTTGACCGTTGAGATATTCTCTGACGTCAAATCCCAAGTTCACTCCAAGTGGCAAGGAGAAGATCATCTCCACGTTGAGAGAGTCCCTCGATCTTTTGGGATTATATTCGGGGATATTTCCAAAGTTGTTAAAACGAAACATTCGAAACAAATCTCTGATCCCTGTTTTTCTTTTCTTTTCGACTTGGACTTGTCCCGCCTTTTCTGTAACCTTCCCCTTCCCCCTCATATTAAACTTATTAAAATATAGTTTCATATCAACTAAATATGGATAATCTTGAACAAGATGACACTTTCGATGACTATGGCTGGTTGCCAATAAATGCTGGATCGGTACTTCAACAGCCATATCCCACGCCTACGCCCTTCTCGCCAATTCAGGCTCCCACCCAGCCCTTTTCACAGTATATGCCTACCCCGTTGACAGCCGGATCAGAAAATATCGCGCCAAAGGTAGCCATCCCTCGCCTAGCCAGTTCTGACGCTTTGCTACACGGGCGCCGACGGTCAGCACGAGCCTGCGAGCCCTGTCGCCAGCGCAAGATCAAATGTGATGGTATCCGACCGTCGTGCGGACAATGTGCATATAACAACCACAGCTGCTTCTACGAGGACGTGAAACGAGTGCGCGATCAGAAGCGACTCGGCTCCTTGGTCAAGCGGGTGGATATATACGAAGCCCTTCTTCGGGAGGTAGAAGGCGAGGTGGATCCTCTCACAGCCCGAAAGATCAAAAAAGCATTAAAGGTGAGTCTAGTCAAATGTCAAATGAAGTCCTCGGTCTCATCTGAGACTCGGTTCTTATGTTTTGAGTCCCGAGTTCAGACTCTTACTGTTTTGTCATTTGGCAAATTAAGTCCAAAAGTGCGAAATCCCCTAGAAACCCTACAAACCCTAGAAACCATCTCGACTCAGATGATTCCGCTACATCTATGGGATCACTCGATGCTATCGACCAGGTTGATGAAGACTTCAATGAGGATGAGGATACCCGGGCTGCGGGATTCTTTGGGAAGAATTCAGAAGTCAATTGGATTCGCAAGCTGGAGAGTGACGTGGGGTTGAAGAGTCCAACGTCTATTCAACAGCAGCAGCAGCAGTCATTGGAAAAGCAAATTCCCACCTCCATGATGGATTATCATCTCGATAGTCTGGATATTCCATTGATTGAACCATGTGACCCGTTGGCTGTGCCCCCAAGGGAATTGGCAGATCGATACTTCGACAGCTACCTGGCTAACGTCCATCCGACATTCAGTGCAATCCGGAAGATGACTTTTATCTCCCAGTATCAAAATTTCTTCAATAATGCATTAACACCACCCCGGAAATGGCTGGCCATTCTGAACATGATCTTTGCTATTGGGTGTCGCTATTGTCGACTCATAGATGACCCCCAAAGCACTGACGAGGAAGACCTACTATACCTAACCCGGGCACGCCATCTCGGTCTACATGGCAATGTACTATTTGAGCACACCGACTTGCAGCAGATCCAACTCGAACTCCTCGTCGCAGTTTACCTGCTTTGTCTGGGACAAGTGAACCGGTAATATCCTATTTCCCCATTCCCCACAGCAACCATATCTAACTCCCCCATCCTCAGAGCGTCCAAATTCTCCAATATGGCCCTCCGCTCAGCCCTATCCCTCGGCATCAACCTCCGTCTAACAGATGACCGCACCAAAGACGCCGCCAAAGAAACCCGCGGCCGTCTCTGGTGGTCCATCTACTCCCTCGAGCACCTCATAACCTCAATGACCGGCCGCGCCTCCTGCGCCGGCGACGGCCTCTGCTCCGTCCCCGCACCCCTCCCCTACGAAGAAGAAACCTTCGACCAACCCGACGCCAAACGCCTTTTCCAAGATCCCGCCCTCCGCGAAGCCCAACTCCGCTCCACCCTCTTCGAAGCCCCCAGCCAACACCACTCCGCCGTATGGGTAACAACCTGTCCCCCCTGTCCATCCCTCTTCTTCTACTTCCTCATCGATCTAACCCTCATAACCCACGCCCTCATGAACAAAGTCTACAGCATCGAAGGCCTCCGCAAAAGCCCAAGTCAAGTAGAATACCACGTGCAGAAATTCAGTCTCCAAATCGACCGCTGGCTCTCAAAACTCCCCTTATTCTACACCTTCACATTCTCACCCACAACCTCCTGGCACATAACCCATCCCCACCTAGATAACCTCTCCGCACCATTCATCCGCGAAAAAGTCTGTCTAGCAATGAACTACTACTCCGCCCGCATAACCCTCTGCAGACCATGTCTAAGCCAAATCCACCACACCCCACGCCACGCAACGCCAACCGGCGAACCAACCGCGCGCACGAAACTCCGCGCCGAAATGGCAACAAATTGTCTCCAAGCTTCCTGCGCGCTTATCGCCGTCCTCCCAGAAAACCCCAACATGACCTGGTTAGCCCGTGCCACGCCCTGGTGGAGTATCCTGCATTTCCTCATGCAGGCCACTACCGCTCTATTACTGGGGTTATCGTACTGTTCTGGTCAATATACGTCGAGCAGTCCGCAACGCGGGGATTCACTCTTATCGCCTGCTACGCCGTCCGTTTCCCAGGGTGTGTGGGTGCGTGTGCGTGTTGGCGTTTACCCGCCGTTACTGGAGGGGGAGTTGGATACGGCTGTTTCGGCGGCGAGAAAGGCGCTGTCTTGGCTTCATACTACTGCGTACGTGGATGTAGCGGCGCGAAGGGCGTTTCGGCTTTGTGATGGCATTGTTAGGAAGATTGCGCCTGGTTTGGGGATTGATTTGACTGAGTGGCCTGATGGGAGTTGTTTTGAGGTGGCGGAGGATAGGGAGGGAGGGTCTAGTGGGGATGGGAATGGGAATGGGAATGGAAATGGAAATGGGGATACGAATGGGAATTGGGGGGATAGTAGTGGGAGTAATGGTCATGATAGTGGTAGTGGGATGGAGGCATTTGAGGAATTGGTGGATTTTGAAGGTGGTGTTTTTTAGTTCGAGGTATATTGATGCTCGAGTGCCTAATTATATGATCATCCAATTTTGAGTAGTTATCCCTTCTAGGAGCTGAGAGAGACTCGAACTTGATTAAATAACGATAATAGTACCTAGGTATAGTTATTGGGATAAGTTAAGAGATCTACCTAAAGGCTGGTCATATGACCAAGCCACCTGACTACAATATATATGGACTAAATGTATATTATATAATCAAGTGATTTCGAGTAGTTCGTTAGTTAACTGTGTTGTAGTTATTCGCCATAATATCCATAGAGACTCTAAGAAACACGCAAGATCCAGACTAGACAAAAAAGCAGACAGATTTATTTGAAATGTCTGCACTGCAGATTAAAAGTATTGATCATCATTAGAAATTGAATCTTCGGCGTCTTCGGCGTTTGATCAGAGTGGTTCTCCGCACTTCCGCTTTGGACGCCGATTGCGCCCTCCCAAGTTATATAAAGCCCAGACCAGTTCACCTGAAATATGTTCCATTTTTTGAATTTCTTACCCTCACCATGACTGGAGTAACTCTCGCACCGGTCCCAGCTGGTGACGAATACTATGACCTCGGTTCGTTTGGCCACTCCATCACCACCACTAGTGTCGACGCCCAGATTTGGTTCAACCGTGGTCTGACATGGATATATTCTTTCAACCACGTGGAAGGTGCCTACTGCTTTGAGCAGGCTATTGCCAATGATCCTGCGTGCGCCATGGCCTATTGGGGCTTGGCTTATGCGGTTGGCCCGAACTACAACAAGCCGTGGGAGAAGTTCGACAACGGGGATCTTCACACATGTGTACAACGAGGATACGATGCCTCACGACAAGCAAAGAAATACGCTGAAAATGCAACTCCACTTGAAAGAGCTCTGATCGACGCGATGCAATTCAGATTCCCGTCCAACCAGCCTGCGACAGACTACCCCGCTCTGAACAAGAGCTACGCCACAGCGATGAAACCAGTCTATGATGAATTCGGAAGTGACTTGGATGTTGCCACCATTTATGCCGATGCCTTGATGAATATGACCCCCTGGGCTCTATGGGATCTGTTCACCGGCAAGATGAACCCGAAGGCACCTACTATGGAGGTGAAAGCAGTGCTAGAAAGGGCGCTTGCACAGGAAGAGGATGGTGCAAACCTCAATCCCGGGCTTCTTCACTTATACATTCATTTCATCGAAATGTCACCCACTCCCGAGCTGGGTATCACTGCTGCGGATCATCTACGTGACCTCGTTCCCGACGCCGGTCACATCCACCACATGCCCACCCATTTGGATATTCTCATAGGCGATTGGCGGCGCTCCATCGCTTCAAACCACAAATCAACGCTCGCCGATGATAAGTACTTCCAGAAGTCAGGTGCCAACAACTTCTATACTTTCTATCGGCTGCACGACTACCACTCCTTGATCTACGCAGCAATGTTTGCCGGAAAATCCAAGGTCGCCCTTGACGCAGTCACTCGCATGGAATCAACCGTGCCAGAAGAAGTCCTTCGAATCCAGTCCCCACCTATGGCCGACTGGCTAGAGCAGTTCATGTCCATTCGCATCCATGTGATGGTACGCTTCGGCATGTGGGAGGAGCTGAAGGTCAAAGAGCTACCCCGTGACCAATCGCTATATGCAGGCACCACTGCTACGACCCACTACGCCAGAGGCATTGCATTCGCCGCCACAGGGGACGTGGCATCAGCCAAAAAAAGAACAGGAGCTCTTCCATCAAGCGTGGGATCGAGTTCCCGACACTCGTCTTGCATACAATGGCAAACTTGTTGACGTGCTCAAAGTGGCCGGAGCAATGTTAGAAGGAGAAATTGAATACCGTTGCGCCAACTACGATAAGGCCTTCGAGGCTCTCCGCCGTTCAATTGACCATGAAAGCAAATTGCCATACAGCGAACCCTGGTCATGGATGCAGCCTGTTCGCCATGCGTATGCAGCACTGTTGATGGAGCAGGGCCATTTGGAAGAAGCAGCAAAGGCATATCGCGCAGACTTGGGTATGGATACCTCGATTATCCGGCCGCTTCGTCATCCGAACAATGTCTGGGCGCTGAAGGGATATCATGAGTGTCTCGTTCGTTTGGGAAAAATGGACGAAGCAGCTGTCATCGAGCAACCGGCTAAACTAGCTCTTGCCGTAGCCGATGTCCCGATCAAGGCATCATGCTTCTGCCGCTTGGATAATTCTCAGTCACCGCAGCTTCTTGATCAAAATTCTAAGGGAGAATGTTGCTAAAGGTTGGACCATTCTATGTTGCGATTTCGAAAACCAGGGGTAAGGGTCAACTCTGTTTGACAGGACTGCCAGCTACATTATTTTCCACGTTAGCTTTTCTGATGTAAATTATTATGACACTTTAGAAAACTTCAATTTTATAATCTCCTCTCTTTCCAGCTGCAGTCCTTACATAGTAGAGCCCTCTTAACAGGCTTCTCTCTATCCACTTTATATAGCCGATGCCTCCTCATATCATCCCGGGGAGGTGAATTAGGTGAAGAATAATTTACTATAGTAGATACCTGAAGTGGCCCACTGGCCCTTACAAACCGCTGCAGTTATCGTCAATTTTATTCCTTGTGGCTGTCTTGAGCAATACGTCTCCCAAATTCGGACTTTGTTTGCGCAACGCCCGATCATTCTCATTTCCTCTAATTTAAGATACGTCGAGCAATTCATGTGCGCCACTGCTCATGGGTGAAGCTAGCTGAATGATGCCTGCATAATCACCGCAGAAGATTGATCATTACTTCCGGATACGGTCTTGCAACCCGAACAACCCCTTAGGATGAAACTACGCCTTGTACTTTGTATATAATATCTATCTCCTGCAATTGCGGTGTTGAAATAACGGCCCTTTCCATCTAGCAATTCCTTCCCTATGAATTTATAACTTCAATCTTCAAGATGGAATGTAAGCCCGCTATCACGACAGTCTCTCTTGGGTCATGCAAGTTTCACAGCATCACCGACAAGATTAACGAAGCCGCACGAAATGGATTCAAGGCCATCGAACTCTTTATCGATGACCTTGAAGCCCTCGCCAAAGACATCACCCCTATACCTAACACCTTGGTCCCTTCTCGCGACTCTGTATTATCTGCTGCACATCAAATTCGCGCGCAATGTGACGCGTTAGAAATTATCATTCTCAATCTCCAACCCCTACGCTTCTACGAGGGCCTAGTTGATCGGAAAAAGCGCAACAAAATACTAGACGAGGTACTTCCCATATGGATGGACGCGCTCAAAATCCTCGGCGCAGACACTATCCTAGTCCCCTCGAACTTCCTCCCCTCAGACCCCGAGACTGGACTTCCCCAAACAGTCGGCGACATGGACATAATCGTCGAAGATCTCCGCGAACTGGCTGCACGAGGCGCGCAACACGACCATACCATCAAATTCGCTTACGAGGCACTTGCCTGGGGCACGCATGTGAATACCTGGGAAAGGTCCTGGGAAATCGTCCAGGCAGTTAATCGTCCCAATTGCGGCCTTGCCCTGGATACGTTCAACATCGCCGGCGCCATCTACGCAGACCCAACCACACAGGACGGTCGCGTTGTACAAACGGCCGAGGCCGATCTGTCCGCCTCACTAAGCCGTATGGCTTCTACTTTGGATATCAGCAGGCTGTTTATCGTCCAGATAGCCGACGCCGAGCGTCTCAGCCAGCCACTTGGCCCGGACCACCCTTTCCATGTTGTAGGTCAGCCTAGTCGACTGAGCTGGTCTCGAAATTGTCGACTTTTCCTTTGTGAGAACGATCGTGGTGGATTCCTGCCTGTCCTCGATATATTGAAGGTTATTCTCGATCTTGGATGGACTGGATACCTTGCGTATGAGGTCTTCTCGCGTTCTTTGGCAGATGATGATCGTCGGACTCCGGCGCTACATGCGGAGAGGGGGAAGAGGTCTTGGCGGCGGCTTTGTGAGATTGCAGAAAGCCAAATGAATCAGTCTGAATCTTCTAGTCCTAGCGGATTAACTTTACGTGGAATGGGATTGTTGGAGACGGTGGTGCATGATGTGAAAAGAAGGATATTGTGAGGATTCTTCGTTAGGCGCAAATGAACCAACACGGTCAAGCTGTATTCCTCGCAGACACATAAAATGAATTGTCATAACGCCACTCCTGCCATTAATATCCACATGCATATACTCGTTACGTTCAGCATGTTTGCGTTGGTCGATTGTGGCTGGCTGAGAGGTGATGGCATATTCCACTCAGCTGTGATTGATGCACTCTTACACTTGGGATAAACTCAGCTCGCCTCTGCATGATTGTGTTGCCCAATAAGTATTCTCTCTTCTTCTGCTTATACAACTAACTGAAAGAAATAACCTCGCTGCGCCGGCGTTCATCACCACTGTCACAATTAGAGATTGATGGTATCCACGACCCCATCCTGGTGGCATTTGTTTATCTCGTGGATAACCCGGTAAATGTTCTTCCGGGAATTTCAGACTATGAAATGTTGTCGTTCCTTTCGATAACGAATCGGGTCCGGGTGGATAGTCTGGTGGAGGAGATGCGGAATGAAGTCTATACCACGCTGCCAATACACATGATGCCGAGCTTGTTTCTCCTTGTCGACCGGATCCCCCGTACAAGGTCTAACAAGCTTGATCGCAGAAAGTTGCATCCAATCGCCCAAGTGGTATATGGGGAGCTTAAGGCGTGTGAATATTCAAGTCTTGTTTTTCGCCCGTTTTGGTTTTGGTCCATGCGGAAAGGGCTAAGGGAGTTTCAGCTAACGCGTCGTTCTGGTGTCCAGTCATGTAGATTTACGCACATGGTTATGGTAATCTGACACAAATATAGAGTTCACTGTTTAATCTATTTAATCTAACCAAGTGGAGGTTAAACAAGGCTAGTCATGCACAAATTGACAAAATGAGATTAGAACCGAGTATGTACTAAATTGAGAACATTAGATGTATAAGAAAAAGAATAAAAACCACGGGCTAAGTAAACAACAGACGGAAACTGGAAGATGATGCCTGAAATGCCAATGACACAAAAGCGCGCAACGCCCTAATGTGTCCACGAAAGTACTTGATACGAGACTTCATGGACATGAAACGATTGATAAAACACACGTGACAAGGCCGATGAATGATATTAACACCGATGTTCTTTAGAATGAAATTCAAAATATACTGGTCAGGAGTGAAACTTCGGTCAATGAATGAAACCCATATTCCGAAGCGTACTCAGCACTAGGTTGGCTGCGGTTGCATCTGGACCTGGAAGGTATGCTGATGTTCATGCTGTGGTGCGGGTGGGGGAGGGGGCTGGCTCCGTTGCGGAATCGGAGGTCTGCGTTGTTGTCCTGGCATCCCGTGAACGGGGGACTCGGATGACATCGGGTGCTGCATCTGTTGTTGCATCGGAGATTGAAGATACGGCTGATGAGGGAGGGGCCGAGGGGGGTGGACAGGAGAACGGTGATGCATTTGCATGTGTGGCATAGAGAGCGGTTGGCCAGGCTGCTGCGCCAGGGATTGGCTATTCGGCAGATGAGAACCAGGTTGTGAAGACATGTGTTGATTCTGCGGCTGGTGCATGTGCTGGACTTGCGGCTGCCCAATATGTTGATTTGTCTGCGCTTGTGAGCCTTGATTCTGTTGGAACATGTGGAGGTTCTGCTGTTGCGGCAGAGACTGGCCAAGCATCTGCGGGGGTGTCAGACCAGGTCGCTTGTGCGCGTCTTCATCGATCGAAGAGGTTGTACGGTTCAATACTGTCGTTGTATCTGTGCCCTCGCCTAGTTGAGGGTTGACGTCTGCCTGTGTCTGATCTCCACTGGCCGCGGCCGCGGCTGCCGCCGCCGCCGCAGCGGCCACATCAGCCTTTCGAGGTCTCCCACGGGGTCGGCCCGTGCCAGGTGCCTTTGGTTTGGCCGAAGCTGGTTTCCTTGGTTTAGGCGGTGGTAAAGGTTGACCCGTTGCAGCTGCCCACGCAATTTGATCAGCCTTACGAGGCCGTCCACGTTTTCGCTTCAAAGGAGTCCCGTCCGGTCCCAGAATAGGCGTCCCCTTAGTTGTGGTGTTTGCGGAGCCTGGGGCAGTCGGTGTCATATTGGCAGTGAATGAAGCCTGTCCTGGTTGAGGTACTCCTGGAATAGACTCGCCGTTTTGGGCAGCCTGTGCGGCCTGTGCAGCAAGTCTGGCTGCAACTTCCTCCTTCCTAGGCCGTCCCCGACGACGCTTCGCAGGCGGAGTGGCAATCTGGTCACCCCCAACTGCGGCCCCGGCGGGCATGTGCCCTTGTCCGTTAGCCTGTGTGGGGATAGCGTTAGGAATGGCCGTGGGGGCATTTAGATGAGGCTGAGCATGAGGCTGGCCCTGGGTTTGAACAGGCTGGGCTTGGGCCGGAGCAGTCTTCTTAGGTTTCGATTTCTTCTTCGGCACAGGACTTGAGTCGTCACTCTTCATGACCGGGCTGTCTGTGACCGAAGGGACAACCGGCGCAGCTGACTGCGATGAAGGCACGGCAGCCGAATGCGGTCCCTGGTAATGCTGGAATTGAGCTTGGTGCGGAGGTGGCTGGAATTGCGTCTGCTGCTGGGAGAACTGCGTCTGGTGTGGGGTGTACTGATGTTGCGATTGAGCTTGATGCTGTTGATATTGAGATGGGTGGAACGGAGGCTGGGTGTGCTGAGAAAATGGTGACTGTTGTTGGTATGGGTTGTGTGCCTGAGTCTGTAATTTCTGCAACCTCTGCTGCTCCAATTGCTGCTTCTGCTGGTGCTCGAGCCGCTGCTGCTCCACCCGTTGCTGATGCTGTTTCTGATGCTCGAGCCTCTGTTGCTCTAGGCGTTGCTGCTGCTGCTGCTGTTCCAGTATCTTTTGCTCATCTAGCTTTTGCTGTTCCAACTCCTTCTGTTGCTCAAGCCTCTGCTGTTGTTCTAAGCGTTGCTGCTGTATTTGCTTTTGCTGTTCCATCCTTTGCTGCTGCTCAAGTCGTTGCTGCTGGAACTGCTGCTGTTGGATCTGCTGTTGTAACTGTTGGTGAGTCTGCTGAGGCGACTGCGGTTGTGATTGTGGCTGGGCCTGTCGCTGCTGATTCAAGGAGAACATAGACGGACTAGCCATAGACGGACTGGCCGATGTATGGCCATCCCTCTGTTGCATGCCTGCATGAGGTAGTCTGTTCATGCCCTGTTGTGGTGAAGCAACATTCATGGGATGTCCATGAGTGAGACCGGCCGTACCCGGTTGCGGCCGAAGGTGGGCCATTGGATTAAACCCACGCTGGAGGTTCTGTAGCCCCATGGGGTCGGGGCCGCGAGACATCAGATCCGGGGAGCTCTGCGCCGCAAACTGGCCCGGGAATTGGCCAAAACTGCTGCTGGTTGGGTACCCACCTAATGATCCCGATGTCGGGGTCATCTTGCGCATATCAGGAGATTGCGACGCAGCGAAGTTCTGTTGAGGTTGGCCCCGAAAAATTGGCTTGTTGGCTGGGAATGGACTGCCATGCTGTGGTAGTGGCGGCCCCGCACCTAGCAAAGGCGACTGGGCATGCTGACGTTGAGGCTGTGGACCCAACGGATGCTGGGGTTGGACACTTTGATGTTGCTGTTGTTGAGGCTGCTGCGGCTGTTGAGCGTGGAATGGGTGACCGCCGTAGTTCATCATTTTGACTCGATTTTAGAGATGCGCCGACCTTGGCCGTAAGCGGCAGAGAATGAAGTGATCCAAAAGGGGATCACAAAACATGCAAGGGCGAGGTCAAAATGATCGCGAGCCAACTTCAAAAAAAAAAAAAAGGGAAATGTAAAATACACAAGGGCAATTTTAACCAAGACTGTCACCGATGTCGCGCCAGCGCCGTTGATAATTTTATGCGGAGAATCGCCACCTGAGTCGCGCCGAGGCCGCGTGTTTGTTGTTCCTTGACAGCCTGAGGCCACAAGGCAACAAGGCAAAAAGCAACCGCGCAGTGACTTCCCAATTAGGACTAGCGGCTACGGAGACCGAGGCGAGTCAGTAAGCGCAGTTAGAGAAAATGAGTCGACGGTCGCTCAAAGGGACTTCAGGGGGGACCAGCTGAAGGGGATCCAGAGAGATAGCGAAGGTGACCCAAATCTATTTGCTATTGACCTTAACGGGATGTTAGGGCCTAACAAAAGTAGATTGGAGATGAAGTGGATGACGCTGGGCTGGAATCCTCGATGGCGAGGGAAAAAAACATTAAAAAATAAAATAAAAAATAAAATAAAAAAGAATTTGCGAAAAAAAAAACGGATTTTTCAGATTCTCCTCTCCACATCACGTGATAACACACATTACCACACCATAGTTAGGGAGATACCACATAGTCAAGTTACAACATAACTAACTAGTTATATCAAGTTATCATCGAACTTCTCCAGTTTGCACATTGGATCTGAACCGGCATTTCTCTCCTCAATTCATCAATATCATCCCTCACCACCTGGTCATTCGCTTATCTTCCATAATCCTAGCAAGGTATAGAAGTATAGAATCACACCATTCACAAGTACTACTACACAAAGTACGTGCTACCTGAAAAAAAATATAGAGAGAGACATCATGCTGCTTTCCCAACATCCTTGTCCTCCACTACCCGAAGATCTCCCAAACAGGGCGAAAAAAAAAAAAAAGAAAAACTTGAAACCAACCCCTTACAAAGTGCCAATACAGACAATGATCCACAATCAACCACAGATAGGGAGCGGATCTGCAAAATATTAACCGAGCACTATATTGTACATCTTGGATATCTTCGATCATATCTTTTCGAGGATATTCAACATTTTTCTTGAAGCTCTTTTTAATCTTTGCTATTCTGACGAGAGTAGTTCCTGCGTATGCGATGCGACCTATAGTTATCTGATAAGGGGGTTATACTATGTCGGATACCACTCCAAGGTATAGTTACTCGGGCGTAGCTCTCTACGACATACAATGTAAATATACAAAAATGATAACAATCTTAAACCCTACAGAATTTTATGTATACTGAGAAGAAATATAGACAATGAGTTGCTGAAATATGTTGTGAAAATCTAGTTCAGGGAACATCCCTGGATATATATATATCCGATATTCAAGGCAATTCCTGCACAGATTACAACCTTGTCTGCTCTGCCACAAGATAATCGTCCCATACTTTCTTGATGTCATTCTGATAAATGAAATCCTTATCTCCGTAAAGGAAAGAGTCAATCTTGGCTTGCAAAAAGACATCAAAATCCTTCTCCTGTGCTTGGAGTTGTTGCGTTTTATCACGTATTTCGTCTAGATGCTGATACCTGCGAAGGGTTGAAAAAGCATGGTCAGACACAAGCCATTTTGCGCATAATCTCAAGTCCAAACTTACATCTTGGCATAGTACGGAGCCCGGATTTGCTCAAAGATCTGGAGAGCGTCGCGCGCAGGATGAGAAGCAAACCGAGTAAACTCGAGCGCCCGTGCGAGGATCCAACCATCTTCCATGGCAAACGTCGCCCCAGAACCAAACGCGCCTGGAAGGCCATTAGCACATGACAATATGTCAAATCATAACATATAGACGTACCGGAAAGAGGGTGACTGGCATCTCCGATGAGGGCGACCTTACCCCAGTGGGTGATCTTGTCCAGACGAGGTCCAGCGAATGTCGCAAACTCCCGCCATTCTCCCTCAGTCACCGCGCTTACTGCGTCTCTTATTCTGTGGTCGAATTTCTTTGTTACATGTTAGCATTTGGTGGGCTCTTTTGTTCCTACGAGGTATGTCGTACCTCGACGCGCGATCCCACTTTCTCGTTGGTGGCAGGGATGCCCCAAAAGACTGTCTTCCCTGAGACTTCAGGCTCACGATAGGAGCGAACGGTGATTTCAAAATGCGGATCTTTAGTCTCTCCCTCATCATCCACATCGGAGAGATATACATGGCCATCTTCGCCCCACCACCATGACGTTGTAGTCGTGATGTCCGGGATATGAGCTAGATGAGACTTCGGAACAAGAACACGGAATGCACTGTTACCTGTAAAGCGAAGCTGATGATCAGGTAATAGGACCCTACGAACAACCTGTCTCACGAAATTACGTCAGTCACAAGTGCTAGTTCTAACATAGGAGGGTTGACGAACAGAGTGTAGCCCGTCTGCCCCAACGACAATGTCTGCGATCGCCTCCGTTTGATCCTGGAAGACCAAACGAACTCCGTGGTCCGAAATATTCTCCAAAGATACCACCTTCTTGTCAAATTGGATCAAACCCTCCGGTACTCGAGATAGGAGAGCTGACTGCAGTCGGGTTCTGCGAGCACGGATTGCTCCGCGAGAATCTGCAGCCGAATTTTCAGGATGTCGAGTGACGTTCAAGACCCTCCCCGTGTAGGCATTTCTTTCGGGAATTCAAAGTCAACATATGCACTAGGTAATACTGTTGTTAGAAAAGCACCGCTTACCTTTGGTGTGTATTGGCTTTAGAACCTCCCTCGACCCCGTCACTGGCTCCAAGTAAATCCAGAACTCTCCACGCATTCGTGCTCAGACTAATACCTGCCCCGGCCTCTCGGGGCTCTGTATTTTTCTCATACAGTGTCACCTTTAGGAATGGCAGTTCCGAGAGAGCAATCGCCGTTGCTAGCCCCCCGGGTCCACCACCAACGATAGCAATTGAAGTCAACGCCTGCCCGACCATATTTGCGAAATAATTTTAGGCTTGGATGTGCGTGTTTTGGAACTTCGTCTTGCTTATGTATCCGAAGCATCGCACCTTGTGGTCGGGCGTGGCCGGTAGATAACTACATCGCACGCCATACTGAGCTGTGAATGTGCCATGCCGCACTAGTCTGCTGTCAACCAATCCCACAACGAGGAACTAAACAGTCAGTAAATTCGGATAATCAGACCCCGCGGGTGATATGTCATGCAATACTTCGTTTCGGCACGTGCTGGTGCGTTGTTTCTTATCAGATGGGAGAGATAAGGATTAACAAAGAGAGGTCTATTATACGTCAAGTAAATATCCTCGGGGAAGAGAAGGTCACGTAGAAGCCAACACACCCAGCTTGCTAGTCATCTTAATATCCGCACTATGTAGCGATAATTAAAGGGTGGCTTCAGCCGAAGTACGCGGGCGCTTTGCAAGCATCAACCTAGCATCTTCAATACTTCTGTGGAGATTTACGAATTTTGTAAACCGGTAGGTAGAACATGGCTTTGGCCCGATGAGAGTGCGAAATTCCTGAATCTGTTCTAAGCCGAAGCTCCATATCAGGTCTTGTGCCAGTATGACTTATCATGGAAGTATAAAGAGGGGACAACCGCATAATATACATAATATACATGATTGCCACTAGCACGACCATGAACAAGACTTCACGAGCGGATCATCCAAGAGGAGCAGAACTAGGGAAACTGAGATCGACCAGGAGTCGGTGATATTTGCCTGCTGGCCTGCCTCGAAGTGATACCCTCAACCTTCTATGCCGATTTAAGACGGAACTAGACGAACGTGTTAGTTCTATCTATTTCAAATTATCACCAACGCCATGAATTATAGTCCCAGAACGCACATCAGCAAGCCGCATTCGAGACAAAGCTTGTTCTTTACATTCTCGATATGATAAGTGGGGTGTGATAACACGAGGATAAGTCATGTGGAGATGCATGGGGGTATTCTACGACACACGAAATTATCTTCCATTGGATGAAACAATATCACCACCATAACCTTCTTTCTAACCTTCTTTCTAGCTATACGTTGATTTTATCAATATAACTTGTGCTTACTTATAGTTGGAGAGGTCTGCTAACTGATTCTGCTGCCGATCTCAAAGGAGGACATGTCTAAATACGTAAACAATAGTGACGCCCTAAAGCACACAAAAGGTCGCTGAAACAAAAAAAGAGATATAGAAAGGCAAAAGATGAAGAAAAGAAAAAAAAGAGGAACTATCAACAAGAAGCATGAACCGGGGGTTTGGCCCCAGGAAGAAACCCATGAGATTTGAAGAAACGCCTGTCACGAATGGATACGAACGCCAAAAGCCCAGAAAATCCACTTCAGAAAAATAAAGTTAGTAAAAAGAGCCACACCGTCGAGTCAATTGATACGACTTACCACACAAAGAAGACTAATGTAGCTGTAATACCACCCAACGCCCGACTGCTCCCACTAGTTGACCCTGTAGTGCCCATGATAGTGATAATGAATAGTGCCAACCAAAACACAGTATCAATAATATTCAATATCATGTACGCCTTTGTGCTTGCCCATCGTTTGAGTCGATCCATATGAGTCGTCATTATTTGATACGCCATGAAAACGGCTGATTTGAGACACTTTGGTCATAGGTTAGTGGATCTCACACACGATATTAGAATATACTCGGGAAAGTAACTTACCACGGCAATTCCCCAAACATTAGTTCTTGTCTTCGGGGTGCCACTGTTGGCAATGCGTGCAATGATGAGAATTAAGACAATGAAGACCCAGGCCCCGATTAAGATGTGGAGTCGGAACTTGAGCACCGGGCTTCTTTCAATTGATAGGTCCATTGTTGTGATGTGTGAATCTTCTGTCGCTTTCTGAATTAATTGGCACCAGGGGGTTTAATGTGAGCACTGGTATGGGAGTCGATTCCGGGGATCTTGGATAAATCTTAGACTAGTCCTTGGTATCAGGAAAACGACTTCTTTAAATATTGGATTATACTTATTTAGGTCTCGTAATCGCTTAGAATGCATATTTCAGGCAGTAGAATTTAAGATAATTTAAGAATAATCATTGGGACCCTGACGAGGGCTAGTCTTGGCTCTACTTCGCATTCGTATTCTTACCTGTATAAAGAAATGATCCACCCGTAACAACAAAATGTAATGGATAAGACTTCTTTTCTTTCTATGTAGTTCATATTGTCTCCCAGTGACTGCCGAAAGAAAACTGTTGCTCAAAAATATATTTTCGGCTCGCTGTACCGATATAACTGAATTTGAAGAGTTTTTTAAGTGGCGTCCAAGGTGGCTATTTTCTACAGTCGATTTACCGTCAATTATTAGCTTTTTGGTGTACGATAACACTCCGATGTGTTTAACTAGATATTTTTCTTCGCTGTGTTATAGCTATATAGTTAATACTAAGCTATGAAAGTACCCCCGACAACGTGAATAATAGTACGTAGCACACATACTAGGCTTAACACTCGACTCCGAACAAACATTGTGTTAGTATACAAGACAAGTTGGCCTTGTTAGATACTTTGGTTGTTATATGGTTGTTAAACATTCACTTGGGCCTATTTTCAATGCCTCCACGTTGTGTATCTTATTTCCCAACGGATTAATTCGTTAAAATGAGCCTAGCAAGGTCACGTTCGGCAAATTGGACTCTGTCTTAGGAGAAGTTTCTGACAGAAATCTGACGTATTGAAATGTATGGACCTCAGGGCTGATATGGAGAACTCTGCATTTTCTACATAATAGAAACTGCTGTTTCTGTGCGGTTTATGACTAAGCTAGATTACATAATCTGTATCATCCCATGTATGCAACCTTGCAATTTGACACACCCCCCCAGCTCTTAAAGCCTACATTTTCCTGGCTTTCAAGAGCTGCCAAATCCTTTATTTTCTTCACTTCTTTTCTACTTCTTCTAGATAAATCAGATGCCTGATTTCTCTCATTCCAATCATCTCTCGGAAGAGATACTACTTCTGTCTTAGAAGCGCCTTTGTAAGTCCATCTGTAGGCATCGCTGCAGTTAGAACCTAGTCTATATTAACTCTGCCTATACTAACTTCCTACTTCATCTAGGATCGATTTATATCTATATACCGCAGCTTCGTATATATCGTCGATCCTTCCTTCGTTAATAGATCGACTGTCTACTAATTATCGTATATAATAGATAAGTAATGATCTAGTTAGAAGCCTAGTGTTTTAAGGACTCGACGCCACTATTAGACGGTTTTTCCGGCTTCTACTAGAGTAAGAAGCTCTGCCTTAGTTATCGACGTTATTACCGTCTTTTGCTTCGATACTTTCTAATCGATTAGACCGCTATATAACTTATAGATATAACCTTCCGAACTCTTCCTATCTTTATTATCTCCGAACGATATATCGCTTATAAATTTAACTAATTTTATAGCTAACTAGAGACCCTTTATTTCTTCTAAACCGAGGTTTTTATTTAGTAGAGAAGACTCCTTTTAGTTTAATTGTTCTCTAATACTATATTTAATAGCCTAGAACCTAGTTTTATAGAGATATTAAATCACTCGGTCGATAGTATCGATATACTTCGGACTAGGGTTTATTAGGAATTTAGCTAGTTTAGCTATAGCTTTAGCGGCATCTAGCCTAGAGATAGTAGTAGTATACTAGGCGGATCTAACTTTAGCTTAGTAGCTATAAATCTAGCTCGTAGTAGCTACTCCGTCGAATAGAAGAAGGGGTTTAATCCCCGTCCTTATACTTATTAGGGACCCTACCTTCCTAATAGTAATTAAGCTATACTTAGCTACTATACTTTCAATATAGCTATCTTAGTATAGCTAGAGTTTTATCTAATCTCTATTTCTAATAATACGGATATTTAAGAACTAGTTTGCTTCTAGTTCTTATAATTCCTATTACTTCTTAATATTATTATCTAGCTTAGCTACCTATTTAGTATAGTAAGGATCTAGATAGTTTATAATAATAATATCGTCTATATAGAAGAAGACGATAATACTATTCTTAATAAAAATATATAGATCTTCCGGCACTAGGGTAAGACCTAGCTTTACTAGTATCCTTATTGCTTCTTACTACTATAATCTTAGTAATATTCGTAAGCTATAGAGAGCTCTATAGAGTAGCTAGTATTATCCTTATACTTCGAATCCTTATAGGTATTTAGTATAAACCTTACTTTAGAGTACTAAGTTTAGGAATATATTAACTACGTCTCTCTATATTATATCGAGATTAAAAGCTACTACTAAGGTAAAGATTACTCTCGCTATTTTAATAGTTAGGATAGCTATCCTTTTCTCTTCTATCGATATCTATTAAAGATCACCTCTAACGTAGATTCTCGCTTTAAACTTCTCGAGAAATCTATCTATATCAAATTTATAGGTAAAGACCTATTTTAGAGATAGTACTTAGATTCCTCTTTGATTCGGAATTAGTACCTTAGTATAGGTCTCTTTCTTCTCTAGTATCTAGACTTCGAAACTTACCGCTACTATAAATCCTTCTCCGAACTAATACTTCTTGATCTATGCCTAGTTCTTTAGTAGCGGGGGAAGTTTATCTCAGTAAAGCTTCTTATCGAATCTTTTGCTTATGCTTATAGAGAAGGTATAAAGTAAGCTTAGTGGATTATTTTGATTGTTATCGAGAGATAGGTATGTAGTATAATCTAGATCCGTCCTTGGTCTCCTAGATCTACTGTCGGTGATGATATTTGATATATCGATATTACCTGATATATCTCTCGGCGCCGGTGCCGGTAAGTATATTATTTCCCTTTAAAGCTATCTTTTAATCTTTGTTTCGTTATCTGTCTTATCTTCTCCTAGTTCTACCCCCTTAGATTCGATTGATAGGATCTCGGTGATCTAATCTAACGTCGATATAGCTTCTCGATACGCCGGATTCGATAGAATCGATGGATTTAAGGATATAGAGGCTTGATTTGATAGT